ATAAAGTAGTTAGTAAATATACATGATTTGTTACCCAAGACATCATGCAATGTTAAGATAAACACCCTCAGAAAAATCTACACAAATTCCAAGATAACAGATGCATATTAAATTATAAGGAAAGGAAACAGAATTGAAGTATACAATCAATGTCGTGAGGCTGACGGTAAAGGCAACAATTCACTCCTATGAAACACCCTTTAGCACCACCATCAGACCTGGAATATTAGACTGCCTGGTCCAGGATGGCACTTACATGCTCTAGCCTTAGAAGAGCTCTAAAGATCATGCTTTTTTCTCTGGAGACAAGGACATAAAAAAGAATGCAAATTTAACATCATGTATTTGCTACCATTTATTCACTCAGCATTTTTGTGTTGTGCCAGCCCTCCCTGAGGTATTTTAAAACATCTCATTTAATTCTCACAAGGTAGTTTATTATCTTCACCTTATACATGAGAAAACGAAGGTTCTCAAAGGTCAGAATTTGCTTGCCACTTTTGCCATAGAGTAAAATAGTAAGTCTTAGAGAAAAGATTGAAACCAGGTCTATGCCAGATTCTCCCTCACCATAATTGTAAATAATATCACAAACTGTCATTTTAAGTGCTGTGTCCATCTAAACGCTAAGTAAATCTTAACAGTCCTTTGCAGCTACTCAGTCAAAATAATTTTGAATCATACTTGACTCCTCTTTTCCGCACATTCTATTATTCTTCAGCATATCCTGTTGGTTTCTATCTTCAAAAATGTACTTGGAATCCATTATATCTTGAAAATGTATCAAAATATATATTCACCTATTCCATCACTACCACCTTAGTACATCTCCAGCCTGGATGATTAAAATAGCCCCCTAACTAGACTCCCTAATTCATGTACTCTTTGTCTTCCCTCTAAGTGTATTCTAAATCCTTGTAAAGGGTTCCTTTTAAAGATGGTATTGCTCTTTTGCTCAAAACATTTCAACAGTTGCCCATCTGGCAAAGGTAAAATCAAGGATCCTTACAGTGGGCAAGACCCAGTATCTCTCTGTCATTTCTTCCATGCTTCTTCTCTCTAGCCACATGTGCCTCATTATTCCTCAAACATTGTAAGTATGTTCCCTCCCCCCTACTGTTCTCTCAGGGCCTAGAACATTCTTTCCTTACTTTCTTTCACCTTTTCAAGTCTTGCTCAAATGGCATCTCATCAGTTAAGCCCCAGTTCATCCTCTCAAGCATTTCATATCCAACTTATACCATGTTATCATGGTGCTCGCTACCATCCAATATATTGTATACATAGGTATGTTGTCTGCCTTCTTCCAGAATTTAAGCTGCATGAAAGTAGGACCTATTTTAATCACTCTTGTGTCTCAAGTGCCTAGAACAGGAGATGACACAAAGCAGGTGATTGAAAAACCTCTGTTTAATGAAAATATGAATCAGTAATGCCAAAATACAAATTAATAAACACTGCAGTAGACAGTCTCTGTGCCACATGCCCTAAGCTACTCAATCATATCATCTTTTCACACAATTTTAGCATTTCCAGGTAAATGGCAGAGCCCCACCACACACACACACACACAGGCACTCAAAATCTAAGGCCAATAAATTTTATTTATTTATATGCCTGCTCTCTGTTAAGTAAGTAATTTCAAATTAAGTTCTCATTACCTTATAAAGTTCTTTCTTCCTGCCATTCTCCCCATTCACTGCTAGCTCTCCTCTTCAATGCTATTCTAAGAAAATTTAAGCCCCCAAAGCTATAAATACTGATTTTTCTGCATCTTGCTTGTTTTATCACTCCTTCACTGCATGCTCTTTTGAGGTCATCTAGCTCAATGTCTCACATACAGAAAATTATCTCAAATGTTATGATTAGTATTCCAACTCTACTTCCTTTCACAAATATAAAGCTCAGTAATAATCCTAACCATTCTTTTCCCATAAATTACCTATTTTCATCTGAATGGTGGTAATGAGGTGGGAGAGAGATTATCAAAAATAAAGAGAATTCTACATTAACCAAGATGGGCAAAGGGTGAGGGTAGGAGGGGAATGACAAGTCTGTGGCACAACATAGCTGGTTCCTTCCTCCCAAGACCTGAAGAAGGGAGGAAGTGGTAAGGGCAGGCCAGGTAGATGAAAACTTGGATTGGCTTGCACAACTCTGCCCTGGCAACCTGAAAGAGCAGGACCGACAGGTTCCTGAAGGGAGAAATTAGACAATCTTAAACGTATTTTTGTTGACTTTGGTGTTAATGGCTTGAGAAGAGATTAAAAAATCAAAAGGGGCACACTAACTGATCCAAATTTCATCATCATTCATTCAACTCTTACTTCCCATCATTTTTTTCTAGGAAAATTCCAACGGCAAAAGAAAAATGAAAGGAGATGTTCATATTTAATGATGTTGATGAAATGATTTTAAAAATATATTTTAAATTGTGAGATTCCTGCAAACTCTCTCCACCAAAATACAAAAGCAGAACAAAAATACATGGTATTTGTCTGTCTAGAAAATATGACACATTTTTAACGTTTAACGTTCCTCCACAGATGCTTAAGTTAACCTGAGCACAAACCAAATATACTGTAAAAACGTAGTGCCTTCAAGGGGATGAGCACCAACGGGAAACCTACTTGAACTTTAACATTTGCCATAAATAACCTGGGAAGTAGCGTGCCCACATGCCTGTGTGTGTGTTTAAAACTAAAGAGTAGGGATGCCTGGGTGGCTCAACGGTTGAGCGTCTGCCTTTGGCCCAGGGCCTGATCCTGGATTCCGGGGATCGAGTCCGGGGATAGGGCTCCTTGCATGCAGCCTGCTTCTCTCCCCGCTGCTTTGTCTCAGCCTCTCTTTCTGTGTCTCTCGTGAATAAATAAATAAAATCTTAAAGAAAAATAAAATAAAACTGAAGAGTGACTACAATTAATACCACAGGTAAACTGAAAAGTTAAAATGGAGGAGTGGATGAGGAGCACTGGGAGATCTGACAAGGGGTGAGAGGAGCTGGAAATTCCCAAACCTCCACAAGTAAGAAGAATTATCTTGCTTTTGACCGAATTACTGTGACTCACCTTCCCTAAACTGGAAATTAAACTTTAAGCAGTCACATACAAAAATCATTCTTCACACCTGAATAATGTCAAAAATTAAAGCCTACCTTTCACACTTTTTTGAAGTCTGAAATCCACAAGCCCATTTACAGAACACATTACTAATAAAGTGAATTACTAATAAATTTGAAAAGGCATGTAAGTCTGCTTGTTATTTATAAATATATAATATTTATATATTATGGTCACATTTATTTTGAGAAAAATTACAAGTATCATAGACTAGATACTGAAGTACCTAACAGTAGAAATAAAAAAGCCGCCAAAGAATATAAACATACAACTGTAGAAATAAAGAAAGAGAAAAAATTTTAATAACTATGGGTCATTGCCTTGATTCATTCAACTCCTCCCAGAGGCCTTCCTTAACGACCACATCTAAAATAAAATAGCTGCCCTATCGCACTCTATTTCCTGTGCCTGATTTATTTTCTCATCCAAGTTGCCACTAGGTTCAGTATATTATACACTTGCATTTGCTGACTTTGTCTGCCTACTAAAATGTAAGCTCTATGAGGGCAGAATTGCTGTCAGTTTTGTTAATACACCAGGGCCTAAAGGCACACAGCTGGCGCTCAATAAATGTACTGAATAAATAAAAGAGGAAACTGAAGTTCAGAGAGGCCAAAGGATTTCCTCAAGGTCAGTGCTAGCAGCAAGCACGGCGATTAGGTACTATAACTCGGTCTACTCCCTCTTTCCACAGCCACTTCCACTACGCCGAAACACCCTGTTCCAGCACATGATTCTATTTAACAGATTTCTCCTTTTTTTTTAAGTGCCAAAGAAAATACATGTTACCAAAAAAAGTGACACACTGGGTAGCGTTTTAACTTCAAGTGTTTCACCAACCAAAACTATACTCAGATTTCATAAGCACACAGGATTAGCCAGTAAAACAGAAAGGCAGAGCTACTACTCAGTTAAGCTCCTTGTGAAATTGGTGCATGCCTTGGTAGTTTTAAGAAGGAGCCACTGAAACCCCCTTAGCAATTCAGAAGGGCCAGTAAACTATCAGCCTCACTTTCTGCTAAGAGCCCACAACAGCTCCTTCCTGGATATACTTTATCTCGCAGATTATGCAAGGGAAATGTAACCAACTTTAGAGTCCCTCTTAGTTCCTTTCAAAGTACAAGCCAATCTCACTAAACACTGGACATAAAATTAACCCTTGGGAAGTCTCAGATTCCGAGGACAGGAAACCATCCCCGAACCATCACCTGACTGTGATCATCTAGGTCCTTCAATCGAAATCCGTGAACCTGAAATACCTAAAAGGAACGCGGGAGGAGGTAAGGAAGAGGAGAGAGAAAAACATTCACATGCATCGAAAAAGGACCTGATATTCCTATTGATACTTTGGCCCAACATGAGCTCCTCGCCTCAAGTCAAGGCCCCACGGACACGACTTGGTGCTGTCTTCATCACCTTCTTTCCGGAGACCGGAGCCAACTACCAATACCTTTCGCAAGGAACATCGCTAGACCTAGGATGGGACTCACTGGGGCAGAGGATGATTTGCTCGACGCCTCTCAGAAACTACTGTCAGCCCAATTAGTAAACCGAAAGGGACGACCTGAAATGTGGGACGGCGAGAGAGTTGAAAGGAGACGGAGTTGAGAGTGGGAAGGAGCAGACGGAAAGGAGCGGGGAGGGTAAACAACGCATCAAGGGCGGGAATGGGAAGCCGGTCAAGGAAGTGGGGTCAGCGGAAGGCAAAGGTGAAGGGGGTCAAGGGGCGCGGTGGTGGGTGGGCTGGGCCGGAGGCAAAGGGGGAGGGGGCGAGCGGGGGGGGGGGGAGGGGGAGGGGGAAGGGGGAAGGGTCCTGGGCGGGGCGGGGCGGAAGGCAGCGAAGAGGCGGGGTGAGGAGGGCCAGGCCGGGAGGGTCTTTACCTGCAGCTCCGCCCGCTCCACCTCCCACTGGGCTCTCTCCACCTCGAAGCGGGCCCACTCGTGCTGCAGGAAGTGCAGGATCCCGGGGAGGCTGTACTGGGCTCGCGCCGCCCCCGCCGCAGCCGCCCCGTCGCCAGCCGCGGCAGCCTCCGCCAGAGGCCCGAGACTCTTGGCACCGCCGGCGCCCGGGTGGTTGTTGCTGAAGAAGACGCCGGGACCCGCCTGCTCGTCCATGGCGGCCGCAGGAGCCCCGGGAGCTGCCCAGGCGCCCAGCAGCGGAGGCAACGGCGGCGGCCAGCAGCGCCTCCTCCTGCCTCCGCCGCTCCCCGCCCACACCCCAGTCAGCAGGGAGCAGCCGCCTGGGCGCGGGGGCCGGCCGAGCCCGGGACGGGCCGGGAAATGGGTCAACTGCGGCGCGCGGGAGGCCCGGGGCTTGCTGGGAAATGTAGTCGCGGGGCGCGGCGGCGGCGAGCGCGGCGGCGGCGGCGGCGGCCTGTGGGGCTGCCCGCGGCTGGGGCGCGGCCGCAGCCCCGCCCCCCCGGGTCCGCCGGGTCCGCCCCTGCGCGCGGCGGCGGGGGGGGGGCCGAGGGGGGCCCGCCGGCCCGGAGCGCGCGGGTTTCCTCGCCAGTCCCCACCCCTCCTCGCACGCGGAAGTTCTCAGGCGGCGCGCCCTGTTGCACACACACACACACACACACACACGCACACACGGAAGTCGTCGCGCCAAGATACCAGGCTGAGCTGCCCATCTCTCGGGGCTTCCTGGTGGTTCTGCGGCGGAGCAGGCTCGGGGCGGGGCTCGGAGGTCCGGCTGCTGGACCGGGGATCGCCCGCTCTCTGGCCTCCGCTCCCCTCGGCCCGACCGCAGGGCTGCTCTGGCTGCAGCTACGCCTCAATCCTGGATGCCCGCTTATCGCTGTCGCTCCTCTCTTTCGTTTTCTCTCGGGGGTTCAGACCTGTTGCCTGCTCAGTTTTCACGAATAAGGAACTCTAATCACCCCTCTCTCCTACACTAGCCCCCCACCCCTTCCAGCTTCTAAATTCTGGGTCGCTGGCGCCTCCTCTGAAGCCCTGCTCGGCCGAAGCCCCCTCCTCCTGCAGGCAGTCCTGCAACAGTCCTGATCCTGGAAAGCTTCCCCTACCCAAGGCTGTTGTTTCCGTCTCCTTTTGCCTACCTTTTCCCGCGCAGTTCTTACTCAGTCCGACTCCGTGGATATTTGATTGTCGGTTATTTCGGGCACTGTGGATGTGGAGGTAAATGACCCGGTTCCTGTCGTTCAAAGGGAGATTGCCAGACAGTGCTTTAGATCAACACTCCCTGAGAACAAAGTCCCCTTCTCTTCTCTGCAACAGTCTTAGGTGTCCAGGCGCTTCTCCCTTTTTCTCTTGTCCCCTGGTTCACCTGCTTAGCCCTACCGAAGGTGCACCAAAGTCCTTTCAAGGGTTTCTCAGTTAAGTGTTATCCTCCGAAGCCCCTGAAATTATGTCACGGTGAGTTCACACAATGAAAGGAAGGCGCCTGGAAAAATCTAACAAATAATGGAATGAAGCCCTTATCTTGTCCTCATAATGAGTTATTAGTAATTCTTTTGTTTTGTGGAATGGACTTCTGGAAGACCAGACCTGATGGCTGTGAAAAAAAAAATTTAGACATTTAGGCTGGTTATTGACATGTCAGGGAAGGACATCCTGTTCCTGTCCTCCCCTCCCCCCCATCCCTTCCCATAGCTACTTGTGGAAAGGACAGGAAACACACTGTATCTGCTCTGGTTGCAAATAAAGATGGCAAGCTCTCTTTTCTCACTTATTGAATGTTTCTGCTTCATGAATTCATTCTTTATTATAATAAAAGTTGGATCCAGCCTTGGCCAAATTCCCTGTGTCATAAATTAATTTAGCTGTAAGTGTCCTTTGAGACACTGCCCAATCCTCTCATTTTACAGCTCAAGAAACTTAAGTCCAAAGAAGTTGAGACTTGTCCACAATGAGGCTTTGAGTGGATGTCATAGCCAAAATTAGAAACCAGAATTCCTGACTTCTAGCTCATTGATCTTTCCATTAACATGTTGCCTTCTTTCTTACTTCGCAGGTCTACCAGAATACCAATGAGTTAATAATGCCACAATGGTATATTTTTTTTCATCTGGAAGATTTAAATACTCCTATGAATTGTGAATGTTAAAAGTTTTTTTTCCTCTAATAGAAGACATGTCTGACAATTCCCTGAAATAAATTTTGTAACACACTATAAAACAATTAAATCTAATGGTAGCTATTTAAGAACCCATAAGTCCTATAGCTAGACTACCAAGAAAAAAAAAAAAGAGGACTCAAATAAAGAAAATCAGAAATGAGAGAGGAGATATTACAACTATATCACAGAAATACAAAGGATCATAAGAGACTGCTATAAACAATCATATGTCAACAAATTGGACAACCTAGAAGAAATTAATAAGTTATTTGAATTCCTTATCAAGACTTAATCATGAAGAAACAGAAAATCGGAAAGACTGATTACTACTAAGTAGAAACAGGAACCAATAACATCCCAATAAATAAAAGTCTAGGACCGAATGGCTTCACTGGTGATTTCTATCAAACATTCAAGGAAAAATTAAAATCAATCCTTCCCAAACTCTTCCAAAAAACAGAAAAGGAGGGAAGTCTTTCAAACTCATTTTATGGGGCCAACATTACCCTGATACAAAAACCAGATAAGTTTGCCACAAAAAAAGAAAATTGTGGGCCAATATCCCTGATGATCACAGATGCAAAAATCATTGACAAAATATTAGCAAACCTACATTGAAAGGATCATACACCATTGTCAAGTGAAATTTACTCTAGGGATGCAAGGATAGTTCAACATCTCCAAGTCAGTAAGTGTGTTACACCATGTTAACCAAATTCAACATCCATTTATGATTCAAAAACAACACTCCACAAGGCAGGTATAGAGGGAATGTACCTCAACATAATAACAGCCATCTATGACAAGACAACAGCTAACATGATACTCAATGGTGAGAAACCAAAAGCTTTTCCTTTAAGATCAGGAACAAGACAAGGATGCCTAATTTCACCACTTTCATTCAACATACTACTGGAAGTCTTAAATTGAGCATTTAGGCAAGAAAGATAAATAAAAGGCACCCAAATTGGAAAGGAAGAGGTACTATTTGTAATTTATTTGTAGGTTTCATGATATTATATATAGAAAACCCTAAAAACTCTATTAAAAAACTGTTGAAACTAATAAGTGAATCCAATAAAGTTGCAGGACACAAAATCAATACACAAAAATGTTGTATTTCTTTTTTTTTTTAATTTTTTTTTTATTTACAATAATCATACAGAGAGAGAAAGAGAGGCAGAGACACAGGCAGAGGGAGAAGCAGGCTCCATGCACCGGGAGCCTGACGTGGGATTCGATCCCGGGTCTCCAGGCTCGCACCCTGGGCCAAAGGCAGGTGCCAAACTGCTGCGCCACCCAGGGATCCCAAATGTTGTATTTCTATACACTAATAATGAACTATCAGAAAGATAAATTATAAAAATAATCCAATCACAAGGAATGAAAAAATAAAATACCTAGGAATAATTTGACAAATGAGAGGGAAGACATGTATACTGAAAACTAGCAGATATTAAGAAATTAAAGAAGACATAAACAAATCGAAGGATATTCCATGCTCATGGATTGGAAGAGTTAACATTGTTAAATGTCCATACTACCCAAAGCAATCTACAGATCAGTGCAATCCCTATCAAAATTCTAAGGGCATTTTTCACAAAAATAGAACAAGCAATGCTAAAATTTGTATGAAACATGAAAAGGCCCCAAATAGCCAGAGCAATCTTGAGCAAGAAGAACCTCAATTTTATTCCTCACTCTACAATTATCCAAATCTAGAAATCTTGGACAAATGTTTTAACTTTTTTTTAGTCACCATTCTGTCATTTTTAATATGAGAATGATGTTTACCTTACAAAGTTACCATGAAGATTAGATGAAAAAGGGGCACCTGGGTGGCTCAGTCAGTGAAGTGTCTGCCTCTGGCTCAGGTAATGATCCTGGAGTTTTAGGATTTAGCCCTGCATTGGTCTCCTCCCTCAGTGGGGAGTCTTTTTCTCCCTCTGCCCCTCCCCCACTGCTCGCATTTGTGTGTGTGTGTGTGCGCGCGCGCACACACACATGTTCTCTTTCAAATAAATAAAATATTTAAAAAAATTATATGACAGAAAAAATGTGAAGTACCCCAGCATAGTGCTTGACATAGAGCATATAACAAATAATGATAACTATTATTGTAACAGAGTTCAAGACTAACCGAATAACACATAAGAATAATAAATACTGGGGCTCAAAAATTATTCTTTTCTTTCTCATTCCCTACTTAGAACTTTAATTCATCTACCTCTGAAACTAATGATGCAGTATATGTTGGCTAATTGAATTTAAATTTTAAAAAAAAGGAAAAGAAAAAAGAAAAAAATTTAATTCAGCGGAACTAAAATAATCTTCAAAAAATTCACATCTATGCCTCACCATTAAACCTCGGACCTGAAGGTGTTGCTGATTTCCTGTTTATTTCATTTTATAATAAATAAAACGTGTCACGCAAAAGATAAAGTTTCCTTCTGAAGCACAGAGAGCAGCTGTCAAGATGTTGTTTTATGTATTGGTTTAACTAATTTAAAAAGCAAAAAATTGTGGGACGATTGGGTGGCTCAGTGGCTGAGCATCTGCCTTCAGCTCAGGATAATTCAGGGGTCCAGGGATGGAATCCCATATGGGGCTCCCAGCAGGGAGCCTGCTTCTCCCTCTGCATATGTCTCTGCCTCTCTATCTCTCTGTCTCCCATGAATAAATAAATAAAATCTTTAAAAAATAAATAAAGTGAAAAATTGTGAAATGCTAAACAGTTATTTAAATAATTGTAGTGCTTGCTCTTTTTTTGTTGCTCTGGGTGTGTTATGTGGGATGGGGATTATAGTTCCACGAAATGACAAGTCATCTACTCTTTTTTTTTCATTTTTTATTAAAATGAGTGGCTATTTAAAACAACAACAACAACAACAACAACTGTCCAGGAGTCCCTGGCTGGCTCAGTGGTAGAATGTGCAACTCTTGAGACTCTTGATCTCAGGGGTCATGAGTTCGAGCCCCATGTTGGGTGTAGACTTTACTTTAATTTTTTTTTAATAGAAAAAATAAAAACCTCTCCAAAATGACCATTCATCTGGGTCTCTGACTTTTTAACTGCTCCAAGAAAAGTCTTCAACTTGATCTTCATGGCTTTTTCAGAATTCTGGCCAGAGAGTAGACCACTTGAGTGGAGATAGGCCTGTGCTGGCATGAAGAGAACTTT